CATTTCATATCACATGTGATAAGGGGAAAGGAAATTTTTTAATAAAATGATTTTTTTTTTCTTTCTGTTTGTCTACATTGTTTGCTATTTTGCATATTTTATTTGATCACTAAAATTCCAATATCAATCAAATTTTTTCCCTTCCATCCTACGACATTTTTTGTTCATTTTCAAATAAATGGCTCCAATTTTTCTTCCTACTTCCCACATGCTTTGCATTAAAACATGAGTTTTTGCTTCCTTTATTCATCGTTTTTGCGTTGACTTTTACAAAAAGAGACGACGGACTTAATTAGCTAAATTAGCTTTTTTTATGAAAGCAAAGTTAATTAAAATAAGTTGATGTAAGCATAAAAGTGTGCAAGAAGTTAACAAGATTTGTTAATTAGCAAGTAAATTTGGTATCCTTTTCTTACATAATAATTAATATGCTTGTAAGAATATTTCTAGAATTGGAATATTATGGAAATTTTAACTGCATTTGAATCACACGATTAGCCATAACCTTGACCTACATTTTGTTGCTATTCAATGTAAAATTTTCGCATTAATTGCTGTAAAATTGACTCCATCTGGGTTTTGCATCATGAAATTTTGGACAATGAGTATTCAAAAAAAGAAGCAATGCTGTGAGGATTATGGTTCAATCATATCATCTATCATTTGCAATAGAAATTTCAAAATAATAATCCTGAAACTAAACTGACGGAAACTGCCCTAAAATTTGCATATTGTTTTCTAAACAATATTTTATTTCCGAAATCTATCCATCATGTGTCATCATGTCTGTATTTTCAACATAACATGAAAATTTTTATTAAGTCATAAATTACCTTCATCTTTGCATATATGTGCATGCAGATTTTACTGAAAAATATTACACAGTTATTCAGGTTGGTTCACGAATTCATTTAAAAAGGTTTACAATCAAGCTAGAAAAAAAAGAAGGATTATTCATTACTTCCCCATTGTTTTTTATATTTAATCTTTACACATGCATGCATGTCTGTCATATAACAAGAATATTACAATGACGATGATGACGATGATGATGGAAAAAGTAGAGGGATTTAGTTCTGTATGAAACTAAATAAATGCAAAAGCACAAAAAAAGCTCGTTAACATCAACGTGAGTGAATGAGGACTTTGCGCTAAAATGCAAATTGGTGCTGAAAATTAATGAGTGTTTGTTTTCGTGTTCATTATGTTGCAGTCGTAAATTAAAATGCTTTCATGGCCCCCCTTACCAAAACAAAAAAAAAATACGATGTCGACGATATTTATAACAGCAACAGTAAAGAGCTTACAAATTATATGCTTTTTTACTATATCCAAACATACATGTATGTGCATTGCATGCAATTATGAACGGTTAATGGAATAAAATAAATATGGATATATGAGAATATGGGGGAATGGGATAAAGAATGTCCAACCTCATCTCACCTCACCACTCATTTGCAACATCATAATTAAATTGTATGATGATGTATTGCGCCAATGGTGCTTATAGCTATTAACTCACATACAATATTTACAGCTTAAAAAGCTTTTTTCCTGAATTTTATACAAAGACACGTTTGGGAGATTTTTTGAGGACATAAAGCATCCGGCGCATTTTTTTATATTGTCTGGTTCATTCGTATGTCCTAAATTCATATGTTGGTGAAGCAGATTTACATGATGTGTTAATTAATAAAGCTTTAGTTTTTGAATTTTGGAATCTACCATTTATTTGTACCCTAAGCTCTTATACACGCTGAATTCTAAATGCCATTTGTAAATGACCTCTTTAAGATATTAGGAACAAGCTTCACTAACCCTGCTTCATTTTTAAACAAAAAATATCCAGTATTTTTAATTGCAAAATCCTTTTACAAAAATCTGTTTGTTAATATAAAATAAAAGCATATGCTCTGCATAATTCTCTCGACTTACAGTCATCCAGTTACAATATCCTCACTATAACGATACATTGCGAACTTTGCTTTTAAAAATATGAAATGAATGAATTTTTTACACCATAATGCATACCTTACCCTCCATCCAATGTATCGTGATAATGTTTATACATTCATTTGTGTGATATCACTTACTTTATATTTATCATTATTCCGAGATCACTATTGACACTTAATAACAACATGCATTACTTAACCTATACATGCAATCTACAATCATACGTTCATTTTTAATTAAAATATATTGAATGACTTGCAATTAAATAAATTGATATTGATTTTCATAAGTAGACATTCAACGAGATGCAATGACATAGAGTGCAAGCCATATGCACGGAAAAAAAGTTTATGACAACATTTCATGCAATTGCGTTATAAAGATTCATTCCACTGACATGATGTTTATCATCTGAATCATACATTTTATTCCTTCGTTGCTTGCTGCTATTTTTTTAGGGATTCTAGCTAGGAATAATATACGAAGTTGGTCGGTTAAGTTGAATGTTTACGATATCAAGGATATAAAAGGAGAGGATCTGAATCACTGGAGTGACTTTTATGATAAAGTACTATGATATTATTTGACCGTGAAGCCCAAAGCGTCTTCTAGACTCTCAGAAGCTGAAGGTAGAATTATGCATCTATCCCTAATCACCTGAATCTGCAGAAAGAATACAGATTCTCTAAAAACATCCACGCTCAATTTTTCACCCTTTCTACCATTGCAATATGAGTGGAAATTGCATTTTTTAAATTAGTTTCGTTATGAAACTAGTTCATGTGAGAGATCTCACGGAAATGAGATTTCAAGAAACGGAAGGATGAAGCATAAATAAAATCGAGAGAAATATAAAAAAAACAGCAAAATTCTACCTCGCATAAACTTAATTTTCAATCATCTGCAATTCACAGCATACATAGTCTACAGACAATGAACATTTTTCTTTCATGCTTCTCACTTAATGAATACAAATGACATTCATTATGTCCCCAAAAGATATTTTTTCACATAAAAATCTCGTTTCGTTGTCTCCTTTTAAATCTTTTTATGGCAATAAAGCACAAGAAAATTGCCAAAATAAAAAAAAATAAAAGCTTACAAGACACACATAAAAAGGATGAGCAAAATGAAGCGATTGATTTAAGCAACAGTAACTGAATGAGTTGGCAATAAAAATTCCCTTTCCACAAGACACAACAATAATGAGGGTAATAATAAGAATTACAGAAGAAGCAGCAAGGGATGATGAACATTTCGTTCTGATTTTTATTGCTTTTCAAATACACTGCTTGAGCTTTTTAAAGATACATGCTGTGAATTGAAAGTGTTGAGAAAGCTTTAGTATGAAATTTTTGAACTTGACCATCTGAATGCTTTAACTGAGCAGACTGATTCTATTAATCATTGAGGAGTCATGAGGATCATGTAGTTTCATATAAAACTCATCCCTTTGTTAGTGTGCTTTTTAAACCTCAAATTTCGTCCATAAAACTATGAAGGCATTCATTTGAATTAGGACTAAATGTTCAATAATATCAATTTGTAGAATGACTAAAGTTATAGTCCATAAAATATTAGTCTAACAATAGATGAATGTAAATTTTGGCAATTGAAAAGCACATAAAATGATCAGATTTTAAATTCGAAAAGACAAAATTTATGACTGTTTCCGACTTTTTTACATAAATGAAGAAAAATAGGAAGATAAAAAGAAGAAGAAGAAATCCAGCCCAGTCGAAGTTGTAATGGCAATAATATCAGCATTATTCAGCAATAAAAATTTTCTTCCCATTTTTATGAACTTGATGGCAAGAACAATTGTGCCTTTTTTCCTCAGAAGGAAGTAAACGAAACAAATAGAAATGGAGCTGTCGGTAGAAGTGAAAAGGAAAAGCAGAAAAGGTCATAAAAAGGGAACATAAATGCTAAAGTTAATAACTAATTGAAAGATCCAAATGAAAATGCTCTTGTAATGGAAAAACTTTTTTTACTTCTCGATTCCTTCTTCTTGTGTTTTGTTTCAGTCCTTTTCCTATGCATAGCTATGATTGCTTCAAAATTCTTTTAATGGAATGGATCCTAATAATGACATTAACAAGGTCCTTAAATGTCCATTTAAAAATTAATATAAGAAAGTAACTTTCAAATAACTGACGCGATGTAATAATTAGACGAAAAGTGCCTGAGCTGGTAATAAAATATTTCAAGCTTAAAGAGTTTTATTAATCATAAAATTGTTTATGGATTATTTTTCTCTGTAAAAAGGTATAAGGGGTTGTTCGGAAATGATGTCAAATTTTTAAAAAAAGGGGAGAGGGGTTTATCCCTTAGTAACACTCTCTTGCATTTGTATGAAAATGTTATGATAAGAGAGGACCTTTAATATTCAATTTTTAATTGTACGTCATTTATGAACGAAGCTTATACAGTTTTGAAGGTCCAACCAAGATGATCCTGCATAATAATCATGAAAATTTGCATAATTATTGTTAATAAGATATTATGGTTAATAAAAGTATGTAAAGTAGATGCTTTAAATTATAAGCAATCAATATAAAAGTCCAATGCAGACAAATCTTAATAACTTTATATTATCGCTGGCAGCTAAGCTATTAAGAAACCAAATAAATTTTGAATTTCTAGTTTTGAGTTAATTAAGTTCAAGGTCGTTTATGTTCTCAAATTCATGTGATTGCAAACTGGAGCGTAGCCAGGGGTAGGAGGGTTATGACAATCTCCTACCAAATCTACATTTGACACGATTTGACCAGGTTTGAACTTAAACATTATTAAGCTCATGAACAAAGTGTTATCAAACACCTAAGTTTGTTTTGATACAATTTTTATCAGACTTTAAAGCAATAAATAACCTTGACGACGAATTGACTCTACTTGCTTATCATTAAGTTACTTCTCTCTTATTTTGAAAACTTCTCTTCTTCTTTTCCTAATTAGACTGCGTAAATTTTTATCGCCACAAATTTAATCAAGCAAAATATAAATTTTATTTGTCAAGCCACAATGTGAGCGAGTTCTTAGCAGACAGTATAAATTTGAACATCATGCCATCGAGTATGTACATGAAAATTTTTGTCTTAATATTTTCGGTGTCGTGTGTAAGTTGTGCAAACATATTATACCTTCATGGTATTTTATCGCCATCGCACCACTTGTGGAATCGTATATTGGCAAAAGAACTAGCAAATACAGGCCATAATGTGACATTTTTATCGGTTGATAAGCCAATTGGTGAAACGAAAAATCTCCATTACATTGTGTTCGAGAATGCATATGAGGATTTCCATAAAAATGACGCAAATGGTGGCGAGTTTGACTTCATCAAGTTCGCTGAAGAGATTAACAATAATAAGATTATTGTAGGCACACGAGCACTTACTGGCTTTGCTCTACAAACTTGTGACACAATTTACAATACGAAAAGTGGATTGGACAAAATTCTGAGCTACCCGGATGATTTCAAATTTGATTTGGTCATTCAAGATTTTACGTTTGGTCCATGTTTGATGCCAATCATTCACAAATTCAATTATCCATCAATAATTGGTGTGACAGCATTTCTCAATCCATCATATTCGAACAATCTTGTTGGTGGAAATAAGCATCCTGCATATGTTCCACATTTTGTTGCAAATATGCCACAACTTATGACATTTACACAGAGATTTTATAACTTCTTGTTATATACAGTAGAGAAATTGTGAGTATGATGCTTTATTAGTTTTGTGAATGAATGTAGGTTGCATGTTTACGATGTCAGGTGTCTGTAGAGATTATGAAACACAAATATTTGAGTAATTTAAAACCAGATAAAGTGTTTGTTGACTTACCAATTTTTGCTGATAAGAGTTTGTTCTCATGACTTGCAACAAAATTTATGTCTGTGATTATGGTGAAAGCTAATATTGTCTCAAATCATCTGGATAAATATTATCCATTATTACTGTAAATTGGGGCAAATGATCTTTGTTGCTCTATTATGCATGACAAAAAAATATCGTTTTTGAAGGTTTCAAAGTCCTTCATGTTATCAGCAGTTATCAGTTTGATTTACTTTGCAAAATTTAATTTCATATCTTAGAATCTATTCAATAGCTAGGCAGATATTTGAGAAATAAATGGAACCCCCTCGATCTGTAACTTAGTTCTACATGATATGTATTTTCAAATTGTAGCATCTTCAATTACAGTTATGAATAACTATACTTTATTAAAACGTCACTAAATTTCACTTTAATTAAATGCAATAAATCGTCACACGACAATAGCTTAAAACATCAAGAACTAGTCTCAGTCAGCATTTGATGTGCATCGAAATGGGTTTGCTAGTGAAAATAGTTTTAATATTCTCAATCACAAGTCAAGCTTACTGTACAAATATACTATACCTGCACACCCTTTTATCGCCTTCACATCATCATTGGAATAGTGTACTTGCTAAAGAACTAGCACGAATAGGTCACAACGTGACATTTTTGTCTGTTGATCCACCAAATGGAAAAGCTGAAAATCTTCATTATATTGTGCTGGAAGGAACAAGTGAAAACTTTTATCAAGGTGAAAAAGTCGACTTAATTGAATACTCGAAAGAATCGACAAGGAATAAATTTAAAGCAGCAACTGTAACAACAGACTATTGTGGTAAAACATGCAATGCAATTTATAAATCACGAAATGGAATGGACAAAATCTTAAGCTACTCAAATGACTTTAAATTTGATCTTGTAATCAATGATTTTACTTGCGGGCCATGCTTGCTTCCAATTGTTCATAAGTTCAACTATCCACCAATTATTGGAGTTACTCCATTTTTGAATCCTCCATACACTCACTTTACCATTGGTGGTCACAAATATCCAGCATACATACCACACTATCTTTTAAATGTTCAACCTCCAATGACATTTTTGGAACGATGTTACAATTTGATCATTTACTTAATTGAGATCCTGTAAGTTAAGAATGAAATTATTTTTAAATAGTTGGGGATATTTACTTTTAATGTGACCGGATCTTTATCGAGTCCGGGCACTACTTGATGCAGCTGTAAATTAAAGTCTTGTCAACTCTGAAATTCAATTATCTCGTTTTGAATTTTTATAAGAGAGGTGTAGGTTTAACAATCTAATTCATTTACTCAACAAATTAACTCTATCAATTGACTGAATATAAGCTGCCTTGAACATAAGTTATTGGACTAGAAAAGAATATTGATTTTTCAATTAAAAGATCAGGCGTTAAATGATTTTGCAAAATTTTAAAGACTCAATTTATGAAAATAAATTGCATTATGGCAAACTTTCATGCTCAATTTAAATCTAAATTGGATGTGAGAGAGAGAAAAAAATTTAAAGATCAAAAGCCTTTACATTATCAACATTGTGTGTTCAGTAAACTCTGATATCTTCCCTATCACATTTTATTAAGTGATAAAAATTACGACACATAAAATTCTAAAATCATTTCGTCAGTAATCATTCAGCTGGCAACGAGATGTGTTCGATTGTGAAACAAATATTTTTAGTATTTTTTATTGTGGGTCAAGGTTATTGTGCAAATGTTCTCTATTTACATGGAGTTCTATCGCCGTCTCATCACATATGGAATAGAGCACTTGCGAAAGGGCTAGCAGATTCCGGTCATAATGTCACTTTTTTATCGACTGATGAGCCTAAAGGAGAAGTCAAGAATCTTCATTATATAGTTTTGGAAGGATCTTATCAAAATTTAGATAAAATTATGGCATTAAAAGGTGATGATTTCAATATTATGGATTACGCAAAGGAATCAGAAAGTAGCAAAATTAATGCAGCAAGAGTATTAAGTGATTATGCCATTTTATCATGTGATGCAATTTATAATTCAAAAAATGGCATTGAAAAAATTTTAAGCTATCCAGATGATTTCAAATTTGACATTGTTATTTATGACTTTACCTGTAGTGCTTGCTTGCTTCCAATTATTCACAAATTCAACTATCCATCTATTGTTGGTGTTTCTGCATTTTTAAATCCACCATACACACATTTTCTAATCGGTGGTAACAAATATCCAGCATACGTGCCTCATTATCTACTGGACTTTAAACCACCAATGACATTTTATGAGCGATTTTACAACTTATTGATTTATTCGATTGAGGATCTGTAAGTTTTAAATATAAAAACTTATGATGAGGGTGGGTTGCTTTAACAATCCAGGCAACAACGTGACTTTGCATATTTTGAGTGAAAACATCAAGTTTTAATCAAACAATCTTATCAGCACTCAATAAAACTGCTCAAAACACTCATTTAATTTTTTCCTATTTTATTCCACAGATCATTCGAGTACGAGCTCTATCCTGGCTTAGAAAAAACTGTCCGCAAACATTTGAACTTCAAGGACTTACCATCAATAAAAGAAATTGAACAGAAAACCAAACTTCTCCTTTTAAATTCTGATCATGCTATTGATTATCCAGAACCATTGCAACCAAATATGGTATTAGTTGGTGGCTTACAGATTACAGAACCAAAAGAATTGCCAGCAGATATTAAGAAATTTGTCGAGAGTGGAAAGAAGGGAACTGTATTGATGTCATTGGGAACAAATATACTCTCTAATCTTCTCGGTGATGTCGTACTTACATCAATTTTAAAAACATTTGAATCACTGCCAGAATATAATTTCATATGGAAATTTGAATCGGAACCACATGAGTTGCCAATTAAGCCAAGCAAAAATGTAATGGTATCGAAATTCTTGCCACAAAATGATTTACTTGCACATTCTAATTTAAAAGCATTTATTACACATGCAGGAGGATTGAGTACACAGGAGAGTTTATGGTATGGAAAACCGATGGTCGGCATACCATTCATAGATGATCAATATCGTACAATTGAAAAATCTGTTACAATGGGTGTTGGAGTTAAATTAGAAATTGCAAAATTGAATGTCGACATTTTTAGAAAAGCAATTAAGGAAGTAATTGAAAATCCAAGTTATACTGAAAATGCACAAAAAATTTCAAAACTCTTTCAAGACAAACCAAAAAAACCATTGGAAACAGCAATATGGTGGATTGAATATGTTCTTAGAAATCCTGATGCTCCAATTTACAAATCTCCAACACTTGAATTAGGATTCCTAGCATCCAATAATTATGATATTTATCTCGTCATTATTGCATGTCTTCATATTATTGGATTCTCTATTAGAGCTGTTTACTTGAAATTGTTTGGCAACAAAAGTACAAAGAAAGTTAAAACAAATTAAATGAATATTATAGAAAATTAAAATTCAATTAAAATGTTTCGATATGAAAATTAAGGCGGTGACAACTGATTTAATTAAACCTTTTAAAACTCAAATTATAAAAATTCTGAACGCACCCTGATTACAATTTTTTAAACGGTGGAAAATAATTCAAGTTACTAAACGCATCGATCACGTGTTTTTCATATGAAATAAAAAAAATCATTAATTAAAGTATAATTACAATATTTTAAGACTTTTAACTGTTCGGCTGGCCAATAACTCGATAGAACTGAGCTAATAAAACAAACCCGAGCTCTCTACGATGTCTGGTTAAAAAGTTTTTCTTGCCCCGAGCAGCCAAACAAAGTGTATTATTAAGCTACCTTTTAGAAACAAGTTTCAAAAATGCGCTAAAAATCGAAATTATTATTTTTTTCAATACCACTCGGTTCCTAGAATCGTTTTCAATTGTAACCATTTTCAATTTAATTGGACTCTCAACTTTTCGTCTCTAAATTAAATCCAATCGTGATCACTTTAAACTTCCATTTCCAAAAAGCTATTATTCAATTAAATTAAAAATAAACAAAAAGTTTTTCGTAACAAGATCTTCAGATTTTTTTTTGAAATAGATTTAACATCCCTTACAGCAGTGTCCAATTTAACAACAAAATCTTTTTTAATGGAAACCATTACGCCTAACGCTATGCTCGTGTTCTTTTACTTCTTTGTCTTCATTCATGACATTTTATTCTAAAATTCTATCCTCATTATTACATGTAAATAGTGTGTAGCGTCTGAAAGGACCAACAGCTAAATTCGCAATAACATCCAAAAAATTTTTTTTGTTCTGTCTTGTTCATCTTGCCGAGGAAAAAAACAGCAAACAAAAAGTTGCGGGCATACAAAAAAAATAAACAAGACAGCCTCAAAAACATTTTCCATGTATAACTGTTGAGATTAAATTGAGTTGGGGAAGCAGGGAAGGCAACACACAGTATAAAAGTTTATCTGATTTAATTCAATTTTTGTGCTCAAGAGATTATCTCAATTAAGGCATTGAAATGATTTTGAGGAAGGTTAGCGCTACTTTACTTTCTTTTTTTTTTCTCCTGTGTGAGTGTTTGCATACTTTTGGAAGCGACTGATTAAATTTGCTTAATTAAATTTCTTTCTTTTCTTCTTTCTAGCTTTCTAGCTTCCTTTTTTTTTGTTGGTTCATTAAACTTTTAGCAATTTTCATTTTATTTCGTTGAGATTTTTCTCGTCCTTAATTTTGTGTGCTAGTTGTAGTGAAATGACTTGTTATTTCCCTTGTTAGAACATCCCACGCTTGTCAATTTGCTTGACAGATTGATGCCAATATCAGCAATAACGTTTTATTTATTATTGCTGAGTGTTTTCTGGTGAAGATGTCCTTTAAAGATCTACAATGAGGGAGGATACCTTCTTGTCACCTTCAAGACTTAAAGCCAGTCCAGCATCAGAGTCATTTTATATTTCGGTTTTGCTAATTGTTTGCTTCTTCTTCTTCTGACATCTGAATATGGAATGCATGCATCATCTGCCGAACAACACAAAAAAGGAGTCTCTTCATTTGAATAAAATTCATGTGATAAAAATTTATGACACAAGTCTGATTGTACATGACGTGGGGCATATGCAATATAAGAGTGTCTTTTTTTTTGTTTCCATTTTCATTTCCCATCCACTTTTTCATGTTTTATTTTCCTGTGGAGTAAGTGAGTCCTTTATGTCAGCAACAGAATTTAAGCAGAAAAACGAGAGAAGGAAATGCATAGCACAGCATTCAGACTATAAACAATATAACAAAAAAAAGTGGGAGCAAAAAATGAAAATCACTGTAAGACTCGCGAGGGAGTTGCTTCATCGCTTCAACAGGCAGTAATTTATTGCTCCATAGCCTCTGCAACGTCAGGAGTAAAACGACGAGAAATAAAAATTTACCAGAATATACATACGTTTTGCAAATGCCACGCTCTTTACTCCCACTGTTATGTGATACCTTTTTGTCAATGATGATGGCACTGATGTTTTTGATGGGATAAATTTAGATATTTGTAGCAAATTGGAGGAGTTCATGGTGGAAAATCATCTAGAACTATGTTGACTCAACAGCACTAGTGGTCAAGCTTTGGGCATACAAAACTATGTCAACAACACAGTGCTCCTATGTCCGGATATAAAATTCTAAAATCGTACTCACATAACTTTACTAGTTCAACTTCCAATCACAAAGCCAAGTGTCATAAGCACCTTATTTTTCCACAACAACACTTTAATAACATTTCAGTCAAATAAAAACTCAAACAACTTTTTAACAACATCAAAATCACTCTCGATTCAGCCTGTGAGAAAGCTCCAATTAAGCTTTTCTAACTACAGTAAACTTTCTCGTTCTCAACCGCTCTTTGCACTAGAAAAAAGTAGAAGTTTCTTTCAGTTTTTAATTGAAATCACTGCGTCAACATGAACTCACTTCATTAAGGATTTTTCTCATTCATTCAGTCATTGGAAAAGTTTTTATTCGATAATCGGAATTTAATTTGAAATACTAGTCAACTAATGCAATCGGGATCTCATTACAAGTCATTAAAATTTCATATTAGAAATTTAATTCGATTAAATGGTTGTTAGATATAACAAGTGGATAACTTAAGGAAGCAACAAGCGTGATAAATCGGGAAAATCTTGATGGAAAGGAAGCAAAATCAAAGACAATGCTTAATGGTTGAAAAATTCGCTAACGTCTGGGTTGCAAGCAACATTTTTAATTAGACTTTTGCTAATGCGTGACGAGGGTCTAAATACTTTTTTCTAGCCTATTTGTTGATTTTTTTCCCTTGAAAATGAACATTCAATTTTACTTTTAAAGTTCTTCAAGAAAAAATAAAATCCTTTTTTTGCATTCCTCTCGTTCTCCGCATATTCTCTATTCAAAAGAACATTTAGAAACAACAAAGAAGAAATAAAAGCTATCAGATGTGATTTAGATTGAACTCGTTTAAGCATTTAATCCTTTTAATGGAAAGGGGTCGGAATTTTTCCTTTGCCTTTCACTTTCTATTGTTTAATCAATTATATCTTTTCGGATTCTTTAAAAATACGGATTCCATTTAAAGAGATGATTGTTGTAGGCTTGAAATTTAAGGAATTATTTTTTTGGAGAGTTTTCTTGAAATGTGATTCTTAAGAAATTTGATTTTTGTAATCAACTTCCCTCACCCCTTTTTCTAGCTCAAAATATCAATTTCCATTTATTCATCTTAAATTGTGCAACAGTTTTACTAAAACCTTTAAGCGCTCCAATTTTATTCTTTACATCAATAATTCTTAAACCTATATTATGTCCGCTAGCTCAGTATGTAGCGCACACTCTTGACTAAGCAGTTGTGTCCAGCAGCCAATTAAAAACTGTTATAGATCTTAGAACTAGTGTTCATGTCAGCTCTCATTCCAATTTTCAATGGGTCACAATGTCTCCAGGTCCGTTCCAGTAAAAGCCCTCTATGGTACGGCTCTCGCATCTTTCTCATTCATTCTGTCTACATAATTCTTGACCCTTTCCTACATCTCACATTGCCTAATTCTTAATTTTACGTCTCAAACTGCTCGACCTAAGAAGCCGAAGTATCTAAACTAAATGATTTCCGTAAAGAAATATGCCAAAACGAACTGCCACCTAATCATGGTCAGAATCAAGAAAACATACAGCCTTTGCAGCAGGAACCAAATAAAGATCATGCGTCTTTAACAGATACCAATCTGATAGCATCCTTGAAATGTCTTTAATACACCCACTCATCTCTTTAAGAGACTTAATTACTTGTTTTCCCATTGGTTCTATTAAAATTCAATTCCCTCTAGTCATTTACTCATTTCTCTCTGCATTCTTTCTCATAATTTTAATGATATTATAATTGACAATATGAAATATAATACAAATGTCAGTTGATATGACTCTGTTGCCAACTGATGACAACAGCAGAATTGACATTGAGTAGCATTAAAGAAAAGGATGATGAATATGCTGACAGACATTGAATGAAAGTGTTTAAGATGTGAAGTTCAAGCTAAAAATAACAGACTTAAACTCTTTATGTTTCCTTCCACTTACTCAATGCCAATGGCTTTATTTGAACTTCTTCACTTCCTTTCTTTTTCATTCTTGCGTCAATACAAAAGAACTTACTGTTATTGTCATTTCATTCGGAAGTAATTTCATCATCAAAGTACTCGTACGTGTGATAGAAAGTGATGAGATGGCAAATTAAATACGACAATAAAGACAAGATGAAGAATTTATGCGTAAATTTCCTTTTTTTTCTGAGGAAGGCGGAAAAAAGACATCAAACATTTGAGAATAAAAGTTTTTTATCCAATGTGTGGCTTTTTTCTTTCTCAGCACCAAGATATATAGATGAGCTCATACAGAGTATACTTGACCATACTCGACCATACTATTTTTTGTGTACTTATACAAACAAAAATTTTTAAAATTTTCTATTTTCAAGTTTTCATTTAAATATCGACAGATGCAACAACATTTGTCTTAAGTCAGTTTCTTTAAATTATAGCAAAGCATTTGCAATACTCCTGTATCAACAAAACTTAACAGAAAGTTGAAAATTTTGCAAAACAAAAATTGAAAATTTTCTTTTATAGTGTTAGTGTTTTTAGAAAATTCAAATTTTTGACGTTTAAAAACTGCGATATTTTTGTATGAGCACATCTATATATCTTGCTCAGCACTACACAAAGAAAACGAATGATCAGCGATAAGAAAGTGAAGAAAGCTTCCAACAAAAAATTGTGTAAGTCTGATAAGCTCTTTAATCTTTATTGTTTTCTATTTGTGCTATTGCTTCCGATCTAAATTTTTGTGCTTTTTTTCTGTCAATGATCCTTACCTGTGATCCACAAATCTGTCATTATAGAGCCTTTTATATTCCTACATAAGGAAAACCAAGAGAATTACAATAAATTTGTGAAAGGATTTTTTGCTGGTTGGACACAAATCTGTAATAAGTTCTCGTTGAGATTTAGTAGTATTAAAGCAGGTTACAGCATTAATCTAATAGTTGCGACGAGATCTACAAGATTTTAATGTGAAAATTGGACATTGCGTTTTGACAAATTCGTTTTGAGACTGCTGCAATGCTGGCTTCAAGTCGAATGTGAACTTGAATCTATCACCAAGCTGGTTCCACACAAGCTCCGTGCTGGAATATTCATTTTTGTGCAATTCAAGATGTCTTCACATCAAGTCTATAAGCAATTCCCATCACACGTCTTTAAAACCAATAAATAAATTCTATCATTTGCCAAAAGTAATTCGCTAAGTACATTACAAAAGAAAACTTCAAAATGAACCTATCCGCACGCACAAACCGTCAGTACAATCAAATAAATTTTACTTTTATCCCCACACAACATGCACAACAATGAAAATGTTGTCAGCAGCAATGAATTTATTGTGAAATTTTTTAAGGATAGAATTTGGTAAAAGAATTTTATCATTCACCACAGAAAGCCTTCAAGATGAAAATAAATTTATTTTACTTTGAACCGAGAATGGAAGGAAGAAAAAGAATTCTTTTGTCAGAAACATGGCAAGATTCTTATTACAATAAAGATGAAAAAT